TTTTATTAATAACGATATGACAAACACACATGAAATAGGATGGAACTAGAATTTTTATTATTTCAACTACTAATCACTACCCTATATAACAACCCACTTTAGAGGTTCAGCTCAGCTGGTGTGGCTCAGTGGTTGAGCATCAACCAAGAGGTCACAGTTTGATTCCCGGTCACGGCACATGCCCAGGTTGCAGTCTCCATCCTCAATAGGGGGCGTGCAGGAAGCAGCAGATCGATGAGGTTTCTCATTGGTATTTCTATCCATCTCCCTTTCGCTCCTTCTCTAAAAATTAATAAATACATTTTTAAAAAGAAACTGAGGTTCCAAAAAGTTAACAGCCTCAGAATCAAACAACTGGTAGGTAAGTGTCAAAACTGGGGTTGGAGCCTAGGCCTGTGGACTTCCTGATTATGAAGGCAGTTCTAAATTTTACCATTGATTTTCTTGGTAATCTTTGGAGCTTAATCTCCTGATTCTTCTATTTCTTGGTCCATTATAACTAGGCTAGATGGTTGTGAAAATTAGTTACTTAAAGTGCGTCCACCCCCCAACATAACAATCATTGGCATAGGTACATATATAATGAAACCTGCATTTTTATCTACCAGTCAGAAGCTTAAAATCATGTGGATGGGAGGGCAGGAAACAGTGTGCTACTCTTTTATCTGTGCTGCTTTCTAAGTTATTAATGTGCTTATGACACAATAAAATTAGTACAATAATTTGATTTCAATTCCTTAAGTAGCTATAATTTGTAACTGTTTTCCCTATTCTTCACATCAGTCCACTGGAACAGAAAGAATGTTCAATAATTTTAATTATTTTCAAAAATTAGTGTGGTAGCTCCTTCCATTTAAATTTCCATTTGCTTAGTGTATAATTATAAAAAGTGGGTGAGATCTTTGAATTTCCCTAGTCCCAGATGAGCACTTATATGACTTAAAGAAACAAAAAAGTATTAAGAGTGTTAACAGTGTAATTAAGCCTTGTCTTGAGAAACAATTTGGAATTATGACAAGGAAGATCACTTCTTTCTAAAGATGGTAGGTATATATAAGTCCAAGAACAAGCATTTCACAAAACGTTGGTAAGACAGATTTAGTGTTTAATTAACTACCTTAATTAGTCACACTTCTAAAAACTTAGTTTTGTTATGTTTAACATATATGCTTTTCATATAGGCAAAAAGATTATGATAATCCAGTTTTATGTTAATTTAGAAAGTCATTGGGAGAATATATGAACAACTATCTTAACCAATTTTTAGTTAATATGCCTTCCTCCCCCAGAAGTGCAAACTCTGGATTTCTGTATCTTTCTCTTTCTCTTAGGCTCTGCATGGAATTTTCCTCTCCTCTCCTCTTGATGGTGTAATACATGATCACGTGTTCACTGTCTTGTTTTCCCCTGGGTGGTGTAGGTACTTCCATTTCCTTCTCCCTTTTCATCTTTTCTCTCATTACGGCCCCTAACAAGATCCTCTCCAGGGTCCCTCTGATCTCTATGCTAATAGGAAAGCACTGAAATGACTGAAAGCAAGACAAATAGAGAGAAAAAAAAAAATCCCAAAAGCAGCTGGGAGCCCTTATTTCTAACCATCTCTATGGAAACAATTCCACGGAGATCCAGCTGGAAACAATTCTGTAGGGATCCCTGGAGCAGTGGGCACCGAGCCGTACTTACAGGATTCAACTTGCAAATGGGAATAGTTGATAGCCTTTTTTTTTTTTTTTTTTTTTTTAGAAAAATCGTAAAGTAGGAAGTCAAATAAAATTAGGTATATCTCTATATAGTGTACTTTTTTAAAAACTCAAAACTTCCTACTTGTTATAATGATAAAAAAGCAAAAGGAATATATATGTACTAGCTTCTACATGTACTAGCTGGCTTCAAGTTCTTCCTAAGCACTCACACTGGCAGAGTGCACAACACAAAGAAATTATGTCCAAAGAAAACAGCAAGGTGTGGTGGTAACAAATCATTACAGTGCTTTTAGGATTGTGGCCCATAACCACACAAAGTAGGTATGTGGAAAGGATGCCCCACTCAACCAGGCAGTAAACAGATTGTTCCAATTCAGGCTAGGGATGAAATGGATTACAGAATTCCATCTACCAAATCAGGTGGAAAGACTGAAAGGATAAAGTAGGGAATGTGACTTGAAACCAGGAAAGAACTCCATCTGAAGTGTGAGGTCTTGGAGTCTTTACTAATACAGCAGTTATTTTTAAAAAAGAAGCGGGTGGGGTGCTCATAGTGCCTGTGACCCAGAACAATCACGTTTCAGCCCTATTTAAAAGTCTCCAGCCAATGAACTGTTAACTGCAGGTCTCCTGTTCTGGTAACTCCAGTGTTTTTTAGGGGAAGTAACTTCAATTTGCCGGAATGATGACCTTAGCCCCTGGAGTAAAACCACCTGGGTTCAGATCCTAGCTTCTGCCACTAGGGCAGTGGTTCTCAACCTTCTGGCCCTTTAAATACAGGTCCTCACCCTAGCTCAGCTGTGGGCAAGCTATGGCCCGTTTAAAATGAATAAAACTAAAATAAAAAAAGACCGTACCCTTTTATGTAATGATGTTTACTTTGAATTTATATTAGTTCACACAAACACTCCATCCATGCTTTTGTTCCGGCCCTCCGGTCCAGTTTAAGAACCCATTGTGGCCCTCGAGTCAAAAAGTTTGCCCACCCCTGCCCTAGCTGGTTTGGCTCAGTGGATAGAGTGTCGGCCTGCGGACTCAAGGGTCCCAGGTTCGATTCCGGTCGAGGGCATGTACCTTGGTTGTGGGCACATCGCAAGTGGGAAGTGTGCAGAAGGCAGCTGATCGATGTTTCTAACTCTCTATCCCTCTCCCTTCCTCTCTGTAAAAATCAATAAAATATATTAAAAAAAAGAAATACAGTTCCTCATATTGTGACCCAACCATAAAGTTATTTTCGTTCCTACTTCATAACTACAACGTTGCTGTTATGAATCGTAATGTAAATATCTGATATGCAGGATGGTCTTAGGCGACCCCTGTGAAAGGGCCTTTCAACCGCCAAAGGGGTCGCGACCCACAGGTTGAGAACTGCTGAGCAATTTTTTTTTGTCACTTCTCTAAACTCGGGCACCTCATCTGTAAACGGGATAATAATAATTACTATCTTGCAAGGCTGTAAGGAGTCAGTGAATTGAGCACAGCACCTAGCTCAAGCAAGTTCTCAATAAACGTGAGCTGTTATCCCGGTTTTGTTTTCCTGTCTCTTGTAATGATGACCCTTTCTCTGGGGGGCATTTTGAGGGAGTGGGCTCAAGAAAGGCACGACAGCACCACGGCTTAGTCAATTTTTTTTTTAATATATATTTTATTGATTTTTTACAGAGAGGAAGGGAAAGAGATAGAGAGTTAGAAACATCGATTAGAGAGAAACATCGATCAGCCTCCTGCACATCTCCTACTGGGGATGTGCCCGCAACCCAGGTACATGCCCTTGACCGGAATCGAACCTGGGACCTTTCAGTCCGTAGGCCGACGCTCTATCCACTGAGCCAAACCGGTTTCGGCGGCTTAGTCAATTCTTACTGTCCCACACTTGCCTTTTTTTCAAACTATAAGAGAACGTTTATTTAGAAAGTCACAGAGGTAGAAGAAATGAGCAGAAGAAATGGGCTTCAGGAAACAAGTTACAGACGCAAAGGGAGGGGCCCTTTGAGCTTAGGAGAGAGAAAAGTCAGAGTGAGACCTCTGGGGGCAAGGGGAGGGGAGGGGATGGGAAAGGTGCAGGGGCAAGCTCAAGACTCTGTCCCACTTGAGCAGATTTGAGGCTGAATTAAAGTCATGAAGTGGAAGTTTACATTATCTGAAAGTAACTGGCTTCCCGGGTCCATCCTACACACCCAGATCTCATTGGAATTATTCAGGTTTCTTCACTGCTAACACCCTTTGTGCCCCTACCCCACCCTCTAGGCTTCCCAATGTCCGCCGCCGTACAAAGCGGAGTCGGACTGGATATTGAAGGTCTACACCTTAGTTTCCCCCTATCTCACTTCATGTCCGTTCCTACGTTTGGGCCTTCACTTGCATTCATCTCTTTACCATGACTGCCCTTCATCCTTCCCCAAAATTCAGCTTGCTTTTTTTTAATAAAAAAAAAAAAAATGAAGTGTCACTAGGAACCTTGGTGGCAAGTGAGCATAACCAAAAAGCATTTATTAGGTGTCACTTGTACGCACAATTTCCAAGAACGCAAAGCTCGATATAGGAAACCCGAGTGGGCGGTGGGCGCTGATCCAGTCACTCCGATTGTAAAGGGCGAGAGGTGACAGGCAAGAGGCATGCGAAGGCGAGGTGAGGCCTGCAGGGAAACGGCCGGGAGGGAATCGATCCAGAAGCCGCCCGACCAGGCCGGCTGCGGGGCCGCGGCGCCAGAGCGAGGACGGAGGAGCCCCAGGCCCCCGGCCCACATTGGTCTGGTGGACACCCGATCGCCCCAGCACTGAACAACTATTTTTACTGCATAATGCAAACATGGTGGACAAGGAAACCCTTCCCTGTGTTTGGCGGCTGAACCACGTGGCGCCTTTCCACGCAGGTGACGCTGGGGTGAGCGCGGGACTTGCTGGAATTTGTTGGGGGGGGAGGGAAACGGCGCATAGGGGACCGAAGAACCGCTCCAAACCGAGACACTACCGTTCGTCCAGCAACGCGGGGCGGGAGGCCCACTGCTCCCACTCGTCCTCCAAGAGGCCAGCGAGCGGGGCTCTGAGGTCCCGGTGGTTGCGCCGGAGGAAAGACGGGCGGAACTCCCCGCCCCCTCCTCTAACTGGACCCGCCTCGGCTCCCCGCCACGGCCGACTCAGGAGCCTAGTACCGCGCAAGCGCACTACCTGCCCGCTGCGCCAAAGCGGGACCAACGCTCTCGTCTCGCGAGAACGACGCCGCCGGTCTCCGTTGCTCTCGCTGTACCCACCCCCTCGCTCGCTCGCTCCCATCCCCCAAGCCAGTCGCTGTGCTGCGCAGCTTCCTCCGCGGCAGCCTCCGCCGGAGACGGTTGGAAGAGCCGTTGTGGGGGCGCTACTCGAGGAGAGCGAGTCCTTCCTCCGGCCGGACCCCGCGGGCGCTGCAGTCGCTTGACAGGGTATCTGAAGTAACAGGGGGTAGGTTGGGCTCGTGGTGCCGAGAGCGGAGTCGGGAGAAGGACGAGAGAGATGGCGGGGGGGTGGGGGGGGCGGAGTGTGGAGGTCGCCGTTCGGAAACGGCCCGGCTGCGCCTCCCCGGCGATCTCCCACTTCACGGGGGGCGGCATGTCGGGGGGAGGAACCGTTCATGTGGGATTCCGTGAGCGAAGCCGAAGCCCGGCGTGGGGGTCACCCAGCATTTTCCCATTTCCCCGCTGGTTTGGCCTCCGCCATCTTGGGCACGGTGGCGCGGCCGCCTCGGCTTCCCGCCCTTCCTCTCCGCTTGGGCTCCTCCGCTTCCCACAACGGGTTTGGAAAGCCGGGGGCCGGTCAGAGCGCCCTGGAGGGGGTGAGGGTGGGGAGCGGAGCGAGCGGGGAGCTGCCGGGCGGTGGGTGGGGGCGACCGGGGCTGGCGGGCGCGCTGCCGGTGGAAATGGCGCGGGGCTGGCCCGGCCTCCCTTCCCCCGCAGCTTCGGCGGGGCTCCCGGGGCCGGCGGTGTCTTCTGACGCAGATTCTCCCGAGGAGAGAGGCTGGCGCTGGGGGAGGAGAGCCCGTGGCGACGGAGGCGCTCCGCTCCCAGGTCCGGGACAAAGGCGGCGGCGGGCGCCTTTGTGCCGCGGCCGCCCGGAGGCTGGGGGCTGGTGCCGGGCTCGGCCGCCGGGCGGGCGGGGCGGGGCGTGCTCTCCTAGCTCTCCGGTCTCTAGGGCAGCTAGATAAACGGAAGGTCTCCGGGGAGGAGGACAGGACGCTTAGCCGGCCCTTATAGTCCCGATTTGGAACTTCGAACAGAGTACGTACTCATTTTCCAACCGGGTTTTGTGGTGTTTTTTTTTTTTCTTTTCTCACGCTGATCTTAAACGTATGTAAAGGTTTTGTGGGTGATTGGTTTGTGAGCAGACGCTGGGTGAAGTGTTCAGTAGGAATGTGAAAGGGGGATTTCACATCGGCCGTCTGGGCCCGGTGAGCTGTGTGATGCGGCTGATGGAACTGGGGGGCGGGGGGTGGGGGCAGGTCAGCCATGGTTTTGTGTCGTTTGGCACATCCTGGGTTAGAATTTAAGTAGGCGTTTGCATCTGGAAGGAAGTTAAAGCGATCCGGGATGGCGAAAACGTGTGTATGTGTAGGAATTGAGTTACTGTTCGAAGACCGGGGCGGGGGCGGGGGGGGCATTAGGCTGTAGAAGTAAAATGGCTTGAAAATACAGTTGTTTATTTTCTTTTGGTAGCTCATCATGTTTTTGTTTTTGTCTAGTGTAGAACTGTCGTAATATTTTGAACAAGAGCATAGGCCCAGTCCATATGTGGTGGGATGATGTTGGTCCTCAGAACACAGGAGAACTGGGGCGGTAATTACACTGAAGACAATAGGAAAGGGGGAGGCAGGGCCTGAGAAGAGTTTACAGTAATTCATAGGAATCTTTACAAGAAGTTTGTCTACTTTGGGGGCTTTGAAGGACAGGCCAGAGTTTACCTATTAAGTAGTATATGCTATAACAGCTTTCCTAACAGGACTGCCCCAGAAATCTTTTTTCTGCTCTCATCTGCATCATCATCTGGAAATCCATGTTATTGCCTTTAAATTTTTAACTGTGTGTGTGTTTTATGTCCTCGTTTTAGTAAACAAGTGGCTGAATGTAATAAAGAACAGCTCATTCATAATCCCTTTTTTTGAACTTACCTCCTTTTAGGTACTAGTGGTGTGCCTTTTTTTTAATTTGAGTGAGCACTTTGAAAGGGGGAATGATTTAAAATTAACATATCTTAAAATTTTTTGCCGAAATTTGAAGTTCATTCTCATTTTTTAGGACCAGAGGGTTATCATTTAGAAAGTTATTTATTGATGCATCAATCTCTTTATGTATTGTATGCTTAAGGGGATAGTATAATTTCTGTTATAAAGGAATTTTACATTTCATTTGCCCTCGGTTAGATGCTTTTACTAAGGAACTAAAGTCTTATACAAAACTCACTAAAATTGTCCTAATATTTCAACTGCTAATATTTTTAATTGGTGCTAACACTTGGAAATCTTAAAACAATTGTGATTGGCCATGATGCTGTTGCAAAGAAAGGATGAGATGGATTATCCTGAATAATTTGTAAAAACTAGGTGGTTTCTGAGACTACTTTATTAGGTACTAAAGTTGGTTGTATGCCTTTAAAGTTCATTTTGGTTTTGTAAGTAGAATTCTAGACTCAATTTTTGGGTTTTGAAGAGATAATAGTGTGTGCTTCCGTTTTTATTGTGTACTCTTTGAACACAGGTGATGAAGAATCGCCCTTTTAAAAGTTTCCTCTGAATCTGCTTAACTTTTCCCTAATTTAAAATTGTGTTTAGTGTGTGTGTCTTAATGTTCACCCAAGGATGCTTTTTACTAATTTTTAGAGAAAGCAGAAGGGAGGGAGGGAGAGACATGGAATAGTTGCTTCATGTACACACCCAGAGGCAACCCCAGGTATGGGCCCTGACTGGCATTCAAACCCACAACCTTTTGATGTGTGGGAAGACGCTGCAACCAACTGAGCCACCCGACCACAGTTAGTGTTTTTTAAAGACGTTGTATTTATTTGTTGTTTTTATATAGGTTCTCATTGGCGTAGCTGATCCTGAAAATCAAAACCTGGTTTGCTCACTAGTGCTTGTAGTAAAGATATACTATATCCTGCTTGTTTGTATTCCCAAAACAGTATCTTCACATTGAAAAAATGCTAAATGATAAAAAGCACCATACTAATAACATTTTTTCACAATAGATTAGATTGACTTTGTAAAGTTCTTAGATTTTTCATGAGGATGTGATGTGTAATGTTAGATCTCCACTTTTTTCCTTTATCCTTAAATCACTCTTTATAGGAAACAGCTATTTAAGTTGGTACTGTTTTTGTTTTTACAAAAGTTTAAGAACATGGTAGACCTTCACAATGTCTCTTTTTCCCCCAGACTGATTTGAGGCCTACTTTTAGGGCTACTAGAACAGTGTTTTCCCCTCTCCTTTAGACAGTTTCCAAGGAAACATAAAACTGTGTCCTTTTAAGACTCAGAATACTTTTCTGTCCTATAAGGTTCAACCTGTTATTTTGTGGTACATTTCATTAGTTCTACTGTGCCCTTAAAATGGCCACCATTGAGTGGTTATCACACCGCAGACCAGGCACTGAATAATTCTTAAAATGGTCCAGTGAGGTATAGGCACTACTGCTGCATTTTTACAGTTGGGCACAGCAGTTAAGTACTTTGCTTAAATTAAAGGAGCCAGTGAGTGACAGGCTTTAGGGATTCAAGCCCAGTTTCTTTTCTCTTAAATTAAGTCCATACCAGTTATTTGTGTGCATAAGAATTAATTGTAATATCAAATAAAAATGCATAATCTCACTTTGGGGATTTCTGTCTAGGATTAAAAAACAACAGAGCAGCCTGGCTGGTATGGCTCAGTAACAGCAACAATAAAGAACGGGCACCAGAAGTGATACATATGCAGAGCTGATAGGATTTATAACCACATTTGGGAAATTCTACATTAGTTTATTTTAAATGCAAGAATTCTAAGGAGGGGAATTTCACTCTTTGCAGATGCTGCCCCTAACAGTTGCACTGATAATTCAATCATGAAATTATTAGTGAATCCTGTTGGTATGAAATAATTCTTGAGCATAAAGGAATCAAGTGAACATTGTTTTGTTTACAGGGGAGGAGGTGGTGAGGGAAATTTTTGAAATAACCAGGTGAGTAGGATTCCTACAGTTGCATAATGAAATTTGTAAGCTCTGGTAAGTTTCTGCAGCTGAAGGACTTCTGCATTAGCCTCTTTAAAGTGTTCTGGAATCTTAAACTAAGGAAGGATGGTTGTCTTGGGAAGGGAACTGGGTGGGTGGGTTCTTTTTGGAGGGGAAAGAGGTCTTTTCACTGTACCCTTTTTAATACTTTTTGAATGTGAATATATTGTCATTTTTTAAAATTTGTGTCTAAAAGTAAAGCAGTGAGTAACTTTTTAATATACTATGTTCAGTAACTTAAGTAGCCTTTTTACCTCCATTTTTAAAATTCAACCTAGTTTAGTCATTTAAAACTTACTCTTGGGGAGTGGTTGAATCATTTAGTTACAATAGAGTTAAGAATTTTCCCCCTTCAAAAAATTGGATATGTTCAGAACTATAATGCATCTAGTAAATTTACACTTTTATGATGCCATTTTTTCCAACATTAAAGAAGTACTCGTACTTTTGGCGTGGGTTCTTCATGTGCGTGGATGGTGGTACTATGTGCAACTTTTGAGTGATCAGGTTTCAAAGGATTTGCAGAACTATTCAAGTGAATAATAAAATATGGAAAATGTGAATGAAAATTTGAGAGATGGGGCAAAGGTAGAGTTGATACTAAATGACAGGTTAAGAAATAGAGCTTGAACAAGAAGACTTAGAGTGGAATTCAGTAAACTTTCTTAAAATTAGGCAATGTATAATATTTGATCCTTAGAAATTGAGTGCTTTTTGGTGGGAGGAGTCAAGTTTCACTGCCTTTTCCCAATCTTTTTGCCTGACCCAAAACGGAAAGGTGGTGTTGTAGCATTGTCGTCATTGAGTCCTATGTTACATTTCCTGTTGTGCACCACTGAGAGGTGTTTCTTCAGTACCTCTGACAAGAGTATGTTTTGATTGACTGCTTTATGTGCTTGTTTATTTTTTTATAGCATTTAATCAAACGGTATTGAGATGGATTGGGTTATGAAACATAATGGTCCAAATGACGCTAGTGATGGGACAGTGCGACTTCGTGGACTGCCATTTGGTTGCAGCAAAGAGGAAATAGTTCAGTTCTTTCAAGGTACCTCTAGTATTAGTCAAAGTTTAGTAGTATTTTATTACTCAGTTTTTAATTTACAAAACCCATTTGCTTGTTTTGGGGGACTTTTTAATTTGAGTATATCTTGGTTAATGTATAGTTATGAAATTTGCTCCAGTTAATATTTGATACAGAATGTATAGAATATGTAAAACCTAACTAATGTGCAATAAACTTAATTGAGAGTAATTATGTGTGATTAAATGAACCATGAATTAGAAGATGGAGCATAGTTAAATTTGATTTCAGCTTTTTTTTTTTTTTCATGTAATATAGGTGGGCTGTTAGAGTATGTAATTTATAAAGACACTGATAGAAAAAATTTTTGTGTAATCCAGTTTTTTGAAAAAAATCTTCCATTTGTATTATGGGGTGATGGGAACTAAGCATTTTGTTTTGTTTTGTTTAGACTTGTTTTAAATATTTGATTCAGATGGGAATGTTTCAGCCTTTAACACTGTTCCCCTTGATGGGGTTATTTGTCCTTGGGTTAAAGGGTTGGAAATCGTGCCAAATGGGATAACATTGACGATGGACTACCAGGGGAGAAGCACAGGGGAGGCCTTCGTGCAGTTTGCTTCAAAGGAGATAGCAGAAAATGCTCTGGGGAAACACAAGGAAAGAATAGGGCACAGGTGGGGATGGAGAGTTTGGGATGGTGTTAAATTTTTATTTTTGGGGGTTGTGGGTCACTATTGCTTAAGTGGGGGGTACCAGTAACATTTTTCTGGGATAGTTTAAAAGAATTGATAATTTAACTTGGAAACTACAGATATGGGTGGGGAATTAATGCTAATAGTTTGCTTAAATTAAAAGTAGATTGTTTCCATTTCTCTGTAGGATGTTGTTGATAAATGCTTTTGTATAATCAACTATTTTCTCTAAACATCTATCTTGTGCTTAAAGAAACAAGCTAAAATTATATTTATATCTCAAATGATTGACTTGTCTATGTAAAACTTAAATATATTAATCATTAAGTTTGTAGGTGTAAAAATGTTAATTTTATGGTGTATTTAGGCTAAATTGGGTTATGTATCTAGATACAAAAAAACTTATTGCATTTTGCCCAATATCTTATTTACTCTAATACATTTAAGCTGAAACCAGTACCTTAAACCATTTTTAAATAGGTATATTGAGATCTTCAGAAGTAGCAGGAGTGAAATCAAAGGATTTTATGATCCACCAAGAAGATTGCTGGGCCAGCGACCAGGACCATATGATAGACCAATAGGAGGAAGAGGGGGTTATTATGGAGCTGGGCGTGGAAGTATGTATGACAGAATGCGACGAGGAGGTGATGGATATGATGGTGGTATGTGTATCTAATGAACAAAGGTTCTGTTGTCATTTTCTTAATGTTCCTGACACTTTGTCAAGAAATACAAAAATGGCAGTAATTTCAGTACCTAATAGGTTTTAAAACCTGTTCATGAAAATATGGATTCCCATGGCCAGCTGTGGGACTTGGTTGATGCACATATTGACACCTAGATAATGTATATAGAAGCTAAAATGAAGTTTTGGCACGTTTGGACATTTTCTGGTTGGCATCAGGGTAAAATTAAATCTCTAAATGTATTCTTTATAGATTTTTAATTTTTACCAAGTGTTAACTGCTTTTTTTCACATGTTGGGAGTTGCAATACTTTAGTCAAACTGCTTATACAAAGCAAAGTATGCTTTTGTAAACTATAAAATTTATCTCTTTATTCATGTATTTTCTCAAATTATACAGGTTATGGAGGTTTTGATGACTATGGTGGCTATAATAATTATGGCTATGGAAATGATGGCTTTGATGACAGAATGAGAGATGGAAGAGGTAAATATTAAAGACATACTCATTTTTAGGTGAATTTTGGTAAAGTCAATTCAGGCATATTTTAGTGTATTCCTACTTAGACCTTTATACAGATATATACTTACTGGTAAATTCTCCATTTGATGTTTAGAACAACTATAAGTGTTAAAATCTCTTGGGGTTGTCAAAAAGCTGTAAATAGGAAAAGATGTATATAGGGAAGAAATATTTTGTTGAAATGCTTTTCTACATGTATCAGTTTATGATCTGGAAATGTTTTTTTAGGTATGGGAGGACATGGCTATGGTGGAGCTGGTGATGCAAGTTCAGGTTTTCATGGTGGTCATTTTGTACATATGAGAGGATTGCCTTTTCGTGCAACTGAAAATGACATTGCTAATGTGAGTAATTTTAGTAATTAGTGGTTTTATACTAATTCTGGTATCTACATTTTTTTAAAGCATTTTTAATTTTCTTTTTAGTATCAGAATCCCTTTAGTGTGACTATATAAATCTTCAGTAGTTGATGAATATTTTTGTGTATGTTTTTGTGCTGACCTACATAAGATTGAAGCAAGTAAATGCTACAGTTACAAAGTCCAGTTAAGAATTTAGTGAAAGACTGATCAGCATAGTGGTAGTGACTGGGAGATTGATTGTTTCCCTTGTGTGGAGTTTCAAAAGTATAAATATATTTAACAAGTGAAAAGTTCAAGTAGTTTAGTTTGGCATTCTAGGCTATATGGCGAGCTGAAAATAATGGAAATAGATGCTGCTATTAACTTGAAACCTGGTTGGTTTTATATTGGTTAGAGAATCAGCAAACTTCAGCCCAATAGACCTAGTACTTGGCTCCCAGCGGCCTACAAAGCCAAGAGTATTTGTGTAGCTTTTATTTTTTTTATTTTTATTTTTTTAATATATGTTATTGATTTTTTACAGAGAGGAAGGGAGAGGGATAGAGAGTTAGAAACATCGATGAGAGAGAAACATTGATCAGCTGCCTCTTGCACACCCCCTACTGGGGATGTGCCCGCAACCAAGGTACATGCCCTTGACTGGAATCGAACCTGGGACCCTTGAGTCCTCAGGCTGATGCTCTATCCACTGAACCAGACCAGTTAGGGCTACTGTGTAGCTTTTAAAGAAAATTTTTGCTCTAACTCTTACTGGGAATCTATTGGCCTCAATTCCAGGTATCTGTGTTTCCCTAAGAGTGGTCTTATAGTCTTAGAACCACTAGTGTTGATGTAATTATTAGCCTTGTAACAGGGCAGTAAGAAGGGTTGTTTTAATGAACAAAAACAAAGGCATTTGGTAATTTCGGTAATATAAAAGTAACAAGTTTTTCTTTTCTTTAGTTTTTTTCACCACTAAATCCAATACGAGTGCATATTGATATTGGAGCTGATGGCAGAGCAACAGGAGAAGCAGATGTAGAGTTTGTGACACATGAAGATGCAGTAGCTGCCATGTCTAAAGATAAGAATAACATGCGTAAGTAGTATCCTTGGCATGCTAGCTTGTTTCCTAGCTGTGAACTTGTTTATTACAAGTTCAGACTTTCATAGCTTTCTAGGGAACTTTATATTGAAGCATTAATTCAGACTCTTAATACTTGACAGATAATTAGCGCTTAAGTTATTAAAAGGGGGAAATAGGTATGTTACTTGTCTGAGTTTCGCACCTTTTGCAAATTAGTATTACTTTTAAAAATATATATATATTTATTGATTTCAGAGAGGAAGGAAGAGAGAAAGAGAGAAAAATCAATGATGAGAGAGAATCCTTGGTTGGCTGCCTCTAGGGGACTGAGCCCACATGTACCCTGCCTGGGAATCAAACTGAACTCCTGGTTCATAGGTGAATGCTCAACCACTGAGCAATACCAGCTGGGCAGTACAACTTGTTAACATATATGCTGATCCACTTGGATAAGTTATTCCTGCATGTCATCAAATCAATTTTTAAGCCATTTAATTGTACTTCGACCAGTTATTCCCAAATCTGGCTACACATAATCACTTGGTACTTAACAAAAAGTTTTCCTGGATATTACTCTTAAGATTCTAATTTAGTTCTGTGATTGGGCCTGGAATATATTTTTAAGAAGTATACCAGCTGGTTCTGAAATAATGTATTAGTCCTTTTTATAGATAAGGAAACTTGTTCAAGATTACATCGTTTGAACAAAACTAGATTTTATCTCTGTCCAGCATTTGTTTTATCACTCCCCTCAGAATCTGTAAGCATACACTTAGGTTTAATATTAGGTAGTCAGCCTGTTTATGCTGTGATAAATTTGATCCATCATTTTTCCTATTACTCTTTTTTTCCTAAAGAACATCGATACATTGAACTATTCTTGAATTCCACTCCTGGAGGTGGCTCTGGAATGGGAGGTTCTGGAATGGGAGGCTACGGCAGAGATGGAATGGGTATGTATAGTTTTGTAAAGCAAATGGAGTTCAGTTAGACACTTAGCAATCAATCTCAAACTTGTTTTGTTTTGTTTTTAAAGATAATCAGGGTGGTTATGGATCTGTTGGAAGAATGGGAATGGGGAACAATTACAGTGGAGGATACGGAACTCCTGATGGCCTGGGTGGTTATGGTAAGTGTCTTTGGTTACTCTGGTTCAGTTTGTTAGCCCCCATATGTAGTGCAGACTGTCTTCTACTTTGATAACCTCCTATTAAACAATGTCTTTTTTTCTAAGGTCGTGGTGGTGGAGGCAGTGGAGGTTACTATGGGCAAGGTGGCATGAGTGGAGGTGGATGGCGTGGGATGTATTAGAGCAAAAACCACCAACATAATAGTCCTGACAACAGAATCTGGTCTACTAGACTTTCTTACAGATTTAATTTCTTTTGTATTTTAAGAACTTTATAATGACTGAAGGAATGTTTTCTCAAATCTCATTTGGTAAAGCAACAGATTGTGATGGGAAAATCTGTTTCTGTAGGTTTTATTTGTTGCATACTTTCACTTAAAATAAATTTTTATATTCAAACCACTGATGTTGATACTTTTTATATACTGGTTACTCCTAAGAATGTGCTGCTTTCATAAGATTTGGGTTGGTGTATTTTATTATTAGCTCTACTAGTAGTAGTTGTAATTTTAGAGAACAATGGTTCACCTCTGCATACGCTGCAAGTCTTAATAAGGAGACACCTGGAATAGAGCTTGAAAAAGAGTGTAATAACTTTTAATTTCTCCTGGACAATACTGTATAGATGGTTTCAGGAGTATAAATTCTAATTCTATATAATCTTTTTCAAATGTCACAGGCATAGCTCTGAAATGTTGATGAGGTATCTGGATTTCTAAATATTCATAATTGTGTTACCCAAGAATGGGAGTATTGGAAGTTTAAATTCTAGCCCTCGATTTTAGAATAAAATCCCCTCAGCACTTGACTGAAGTACCAAAAAATGTTTCCAGACGGTGATAGTTTTAAGTTATCCCAAGTGTTAGACTAGGTTAAGGTTCCAAGTGACATATGAGAATTCAGTACAAAGGTATTAACTATGGAGTATAATTCTCACAGGTGTATTTTCAGTTTAAGCCCAATAGTTAAAGCATTTTTTAAATAACTGTATAAATACCTTTAAAAAATGTAAGAGATAAATCCATGTTGTAGTCTTAATTAAAATGAGAGTCCTACAGTTGGATTTTGTATTGGATTATCTGTTTGGAGTTTCAGGGCCATTGTGTTAAATACTATATGTAGCAAGGAAAAGGTGCTTTTTACTTTTAATCCCTTTGATCAATATGGCTTTTTTCCAGATTGGCTAATGGATCAAACGAAACCTGTTAATGTGAATTCAGTTACTGAACTTGTTACTTGTTTTTGCTAGAATGTAATAAATATCAATGTGGGAGATAATAGTATGGCGTCTGTCCTAGAATGCTTTGTGTCAATTACTGATCATAAATCAAAGGTACTAAGTATATCTAACTGAAGATTAGACAAAGTGACTCCTAAGGAGTGATTTCTGCTTTAGAGAAAGTAGCTGTGGTAGCCTATATGGAGCCCGTCAACTAAGCAATGTTTCATTTTAATAATGCCTGTACCTTCTCTCCTAGCTGTATCCCTTTATTATATTAGTCTCATACCACTTACATTTTTTAGAGATCACATGTGCTTTTACTTTCCCATGAGTAAAACTATAAAATGTTATCAATGAAAATTGCTCATCTAAAGCACAATAAGTTTTCAAATCTTTTATTTTTATAAAATTCACATTTTATTTTAAAACATTACAGGGTAGAAGAATTAACAATCACAATTCCTTGGCACCAAGATAGCATTATTGTGATAGTACTGGCTAGATGAGGGAATGATATGTGAAGTTTGCAAATCTTCCTTGAAAAAAAGTGTAGGTTCACAAAGTACAAATGAAAAGCTTTTTAACATAAAATTCAAAATTGGTATAAATGTGTTTTGTTTTTTAAAGAGCTAATACTAAACTTTTGCCTACAAAAATCTCAATGTAGTGGTGATACATGAGTTTTGAATAGCAAAGAACTGAAGGGGAGATTAACCAGCCTTGGAATTTAAGCAAAAATCACATTTTTTAATTTGTTCTAAGCACATTAATAAAAAACACTTAGTATCATAAAAATGTTCATCCATCAATACAAAAGTTTCAATAATATAATTTATCTCTTCAACATTTCTATCAGAGCAAGACCACCTAAAAATCTGTCGGTTCTGCCAGAAGACCTCATATTGGATTATGGAGAAAATCTTAAGTAAAATACTAGTTTCAAACTTTGGCAATTTAAAAAAATAATTTTCACACTTAATGAAAGTATGTACTCTGAGGAAAAAATCCTGCAAAATAAGTAACCCCCATCCTAGGGGGTAGGGGGTAGCCATGATTAAATTCACTAAATACAATGCTCCTAGGAGTAATGTAAGATTATTCTAATATCACATTGTTTGAAAGGTTCACAGGGGTAAAGTGCATGGCTAAAATTTGACTTAAATAAAAAAGGGTAGGGCTCCTAGTAGTGATGCCATTCAAGTGATTTGTATACAAGGGTAACTTGCTTTTTACAGATTAAATTCTTGTATATGCAATAAGCAATACAATGAGATTAGTGTTTATTCAGTCTCATGCTTGAAATGGTTCAAGTATGTATTTCATGGCAGGGCTGAGACCACATCTTCATCCGCTAACCAACCCTGGTTTAGAGGTGCTCAGTATGTGGTAAATTTTTTACTCTCTATGCAGTAGCAGACCACTGCAATATTAATGCGTCTTAAAAACTACTGGAAAGATCTGCAAGTAGCAACTTAAGGTAAAAGGATGATGATTTAAACTTCCTTTCAAAATAAGGAAAAGGTTGTGGCAAAACAAACTCTTTAACCCACTGTATCTGAAAGATAGCAACTACAACACTGGTTTTAGGAGTAAGACCCAAAGGAAACAGCATAAAATATTGGCCTTTTCTAATGCAACGTGAGCAAAGGGCCAAATAAATATAGTTGACACCTTACCAAGCTAATTGAAAACCTGATGAATTGGGATATTAACACATAAAAAATTCTACACAATTCCCATCTTTCTCTAAGAACCATGAAGCTTTAAAGTGCATTAAGAAAATTACAGGCACCATCAAATATCAACTCCGCAATCTGGAGAAGAAAATCTGAAGCCCTGTTTTTAAGAAGGCCTTTATAAAATAAGGCAACTGTGTTAGCTACTATCTGGCCTTATCAATGTTACTAAGAGTTACATGATTATTACATGAACTAGGAATTAGGTTGAAGTTATTTTAAAGCATGCCCTGTTGAAAATTCTTTAATAATGGAAAGGAAATACCCAATTATGCAACTTTTTAATTCCCAATAATTGAAGATGTGAAAGATAAAACTGGTACCAATACTGTCTGAAAGCTGCTTAAGAAGGGCTGTCTGAGTATGTTGTGCACGTGTTCATACATAACATTCATCATCAGTACTTCCATACAATGAGGATTTCGCTTTAGAATCTTACGGCAAATTAGATGAGCATCTCTGAATGAGCAATGCATGACAGGAATCACAAACCCGTACTGGCTTTGGTGAAGAAGGCAAAGGCAGTTCGTTGTCAGAGCAAGCATTACAGAAAATTTCCCCACAGTTTCTACAGTGGTGCTATTAATTGAGGGAGGGGGGAGGAAATCAGAAAGAAAAAAAAAGTGAATAAAGTTAAAAGCCATATTTGCACTGAAACTTTTGGATTTGCTACTTCACTTACCTTTCTCTTAGAGAGTGAGAATTCCTTTTCACAGAGCTTACAATGTGTTGCTTCTTTGTCTTTCAACCAAACCAGTCCCTAGTAGGAGGAAAATGCTCAAATTGGTAACACTAAATTACATGTGGAAACATTTTTAACCAAGAACACTTTACAGGAATGTTTGAAATGAATAAAACTGAAAAAAAGAAAAGACCGTACCCTTTTATGTAATGATGTTTACTTTGAATTTATATTAGTTCACACAAACACTCCATCCATGCTTTTGTTCTGGCCCTCCGGTCCAGTTTAAGAACCCATTGTGGCCCTCGAGTCAAAAAGTTTGCCCACCCCTGGTTTAAACTATGAACAAATTCCTATGCACACTGCACATATCTTATTTTGAAGTAAAAAAACAAAACAGGAACAAATACGATGTTTGTATTTGCATGTGGCCTGCGGGCCGTAGTTTGAGGACCCCTGCTATAAGAGAACAAACTATTACTCTGCAAATAAATAGCTATTTTTCTCTGCCCAATTTCCAGAATGTAAGTCACCCAACTTATACACCACCACCACCACCAGACAGGACATTAGAGGATCCTTTTTCTGGGGAAACTCAACTGCCCCAGAGGGAAGTCCTGTTCTACCATTATTTGCAGAGGATACCCAGCAGTTTGCTAGTTAACAGATTTCTCTAAGCTGAAGCCTACCAATCTATAACAACCAACCCTCATCCATCCAACCATTACACGGGCACCCCAATTTTTTAAAAATTGAAATAGGGGGATTAGCCAACATTTGAGGAATGACGGGCACGAGATACTTTAGCCAAAGAAACAAATTCAGAATGAAATACAGAATGGCAGTACCAAAAAACTTTACAGAAACTATAATGAATATCCTGAGAGAGAGAACAATGCTATTTTTAAAAGGGAAAGTGAGCAAATAAGAGCCTGCTGAATATTAAGAATATGGCAGCAGAAATAAGTCTCTGAAGGCTGCATAAGCCTTGAGATTTCTTTAATGTCCAGTTTACAGGCAACAACAACATAGAAAAACAAGACTATGGGGGAAAAGATTACTCTGAGCAAGCAATCATAAAATTCAGAATGTAGTAAACTGTAGGACAGCTGTCCCAGACCCAACAACTGCTCAAAATAACACACATCACACACAAACCTATTTTCATACGTTTGAAAATCCGGACGTCTAGGTAATATTTTGTTAAAAATAGACATGGATGATAAAACTAAAGAAAAACAACAATGATAACACAAAATATAAAATTGTTACTATAGGGAGAAGAATGCAATCAAGGAACACACATACATGTTCTATTTATAAGCTAAAGCAGAGAATATGTCAGTATTTTAAAGCTGTACTATATGCCTCTTATAAATATATCTTTTAACAACAAAAAATATTTCACAGTCTTTAAATAATAACAGGAAGGCAAACATTCCTACCCATCTCCTTAAAAAGAGAGCAAAATAAAGGCATATGCAGATGTGCAAATTCTTAAAGTCTTTATCTTGGGGTTCACTTTCCAAGAAGTTACTAAACAGGGATAAATGCCTGAAAAAACAACTAGAAGAATTGAAAGTAGTTCCCTTTACGAGGACAGACCTAGGGTGCATAAGGGACAAGAGGATGAAGAACAAGAGACTGCTACCATAATTTGTTTCTAGCACTATCTGACTTTTTACATTATTTTCATGTAACACTTTGATAAGAAGAGAGCCATCTGTCACTAAGTACTCAAGACTATTTTCTGTGTTGTAGA